TATGTGGGCTGTCCCCACACCGTTTTCCCATTTATGTTTTTGTGAAAGCATGTGCGCAATGAGGAACGTAATTTCAGCTTTCGAATTAACTGGAACAGTTTGAGTTCATTATTATTGCTTTAGGCATCCTTATGAATTTTTAAGACACGCATAACAAACCTTTCTTCGCATCACATACTGATAGGAATAAAGCTTAATATATTATGGTAGAGGTAAAGTCATTTGCAGATCAGAAAGAGAGAGTAATAATGTAATGTAGGCTAGAATACTTTGAAATTGCTATTTAACCTTTTAATTGTCAGTGGAAGATTATTGAGTAACTTGTTACGTGTGTATGCCACTCACTGATTGTGAGGTTAGCATTTGGCAGGTGTAGGTCATATTTTTGCCTAGTGTTTAATTGTGTACGGAAGTATTTCTGTCAGATTTTCACGTTTTGTACCACAGATGATATCAAAAGATGTATTTGCTTGGAAGCAGAACTACATTAAATTTCTGAAAGAGATGCTGCTTTAACAAGCGCAATTATTCCAGTTATTTTCTTTCTCCCAATTTAGGTTCCTATAATTGTGGAAACCAGAAATAGGGCTTATTTCTTAAAACTAATAGCCGGCCATCATGATCATACATCACCAGTTCAATGTAAATGCGTTATGACCTGCAACTATCCAAGGAATATTATCACTGGAATGGTATGGACGGTATTCCTCTGGCTGAGGACAGGCACTAGTAGCAGGCTTGTGTGAAATTGTCAGTGAACGTTTTGGTTCCATAAAAATGTTTCGAACTTCTTGAATAGTGGAGTGATTGTTAGCTTCTGAAGAAGGGTTCGTTTCCATGGCATCCATGAGTTGTGTTCTGTGCATGGCTTCTTGCGGAATATCAAGGACGTAAGTGAGAAGTTCTCCATCTGTTATTACTTGACGAACATCCGGTGTAGGCATTCTTATGAAAGAAGCCTTGTGTGTATGGGACGGTATGGGATGTCCCAGTATGACGCTCCCACAGACAAACATGCGTGTGTTTCACAGTTCACTGATAACCTCCACAAACGCATAACATGTCTATATATCAAAATAAAAATGTGTCCTGCCTACAATGAAGAAATTCCCATAAAATTGCAGCTATAATAAGAGAAGAACATGCTCATTATGTTAGCTCATTCTTCTTAATGTAAGAGGCTTTCTTCTCGTGCTCTTCTGGCTGCAACAGGAAATTTAATGTGAAGAGTTCAATGGATGAAAGGGTATTCTTTTTATAGATAAGAGGGAGAGAAATCAAATTTTATAGCCACATTTGAATGTAGATCAATAGAGCGGAACACGTTCCCCTCTTATATTAATACACGAAGATATTATAACGATTGTTAATGTAGGGCCTTTGTTTTTTCTGTGTCAGAGAAACTTTTGCCTTAATTATAAGTTGTTATGCAGTTCACTTTTGAGTGGTGTATTATGGGAAGCAGCCCAGTCTGCATGTGGTGTCTAAGGTGAGACTGCAGTTCTGGAGAGATGTAGTTCTTGAGTTTATGTTTAGTGTATCTGTTTTTCTTATTAGCGTGATAGAATGTGTGAATCAGTCACTTGTTCTGTAAGATTCAGTTGTATTGTTTGTCCTTGTTGTTCAGTACAACATGGTATATATGCACAAATTTTACGTTTTCCACCCGTTCACCGTCTCCCATCATGGTGAAATGGCCACAGGATGCCTGTTCATGGTGTTCATGGTGTAGATCGAAACTAGGCCCATAGAGGAGGTGATAAAGATGCAATGCAGATACCTCAACCAGCCTTCGCTGGACACAAAATCAGAGGTTAGTGAATTTCACACTATATAGACACAGTTGTGGTCTAGTGTGAGGTGCTGTGCCACCATCTGCCTGTATTTGGAGCTGGAAGTTTTTCCACTCCTGTTTACTTCTTATTTGTAGTTCAGTGACAGCAAAGGAGACTAAACTGCATCAGATGATGATAACGATTGGAACAGATGTGGATGGAAGCAGTAATGGTATAGACTGAGGGTGTTTGAGAACAGGGTGTTGAGGAGAATATTTGGACCGAAGAGAGATGAAGTGACAGGAGGTTGGAGAAAACTGCATAATGAGGAGCTTCATAACTTGTACTCTTCTCCAAGTATAATTAGAATGATCAAGCCAAGGACGATGAGATGGGCAGGGCATGTAGCATGAATTATGGAGAAGAGATACATATAAGATATCAGTGGGAAAGCCGGTAGGAAGGAGACTACTGGGAAGACCAAGACGTAGGTGAGTGGAGAATATTAAAATGGATCTTAGAGAGATAGGATGGGATGGTATGGATTGGTTTGATCCGGCTCAGGATATGGACCATTGGAGGGCTCTTGTGAACACGATGATGAACCTTCGTGTTCCATAAAATGCTGGGAAATTCTTGAGTAGCTGCAGAATTGGCGGCTCCTCAAGAAGGGCTCAGTAAGTAAGTAAGTAATGGTATAATTTAAGTTACTGCCCCAGCTTTTTCCTGAAGGGAGTGAGGAAAACGAGAAAAAAGTCTTCAGCTAGCCAGGGTAGTCAGTGTCAGATAGATACAGTGTGTCTGTAAGAAGTATGAGAAGTGAATTTCCAAGTGGGAAGTCCTCGAGCATCCTCTGTATAGCCCCAACCTTGCTCCAAGCGACTTCTATTTGTTTTGCCCTCTTAAACATCATCTTTTTCCTGAACATTTTCCTGATGCTGAAGCTGTAGTAAGGGAAGTCACCACCTAGTTCCGACAGCAGCCCAAAGAATTTTATGCTGCTGGTTTTCAGGGGCTTGTGAAACGATGGGACAAGTGCCTTAATGTACAGGGAGATTATGTTGAGAAATAAAATAATTTTTCAGATCAGTACTCATAATTGTTTAAGTTCTATATCCATTTGTAACTTACTTATTGACTTACCTACATAGAATGTGTCACATATCAGAACAAATGTTCCGTTTAATCAATGGAACAAGTCTAGGTAACAATATATATTATATTTAAGCATCCTGTTGCACTGTACACTTCTATAAGCAGCAATACAAATTCTGTCACTAGTGCAAAAATTTATTG